GCTTTCCTTTCTGCACTCCCAGTGCTCCAAGCCAGCCTTGCCCTGACTGCTTCCTTTCTGCACTCCCAGTGCTCCAAGCCAGCCTTGCCCTGACTGCTTCCTTTCTGCACTCCAAGTGCCTAGTCTCCTTGACTATCTGGAGAGAACAGCCTCTCTCTCCTACCTGCTTCCTGGGAGGAAGCCAGCAATCCCTCTCCTTTTCCTGCCTAGCCGGGAGGGGTATATTCCCACTGCAATAGCTCATTAACTGCAGCTGAGCAGTGGGTTGGAGACGGTCCAAAAAACCCTGGCCTGGATCTATGTCTCCCCAGAACACCACTAAACTGTGGAGTGGAGCACTGGCCCACCCTTCTCTCCAAATGCTCCACCCCAGGGGCCCATAACTAAACAGAGCTTTGTGTAACACACACAAACTACACATACTCCCCCTGGGGTTAAAAGGCCTATCTGCCTTCACTTTATCACAATATATATATATATACATATATATATACATATATATAAATATATATACATACACATACACTGCTCAAAAAAATAAAGGGAACACTTAAACAACACAATGTAACTCCAAGTCAATCACACTTCTGTGAAATCAAACTGTCCACTTAGGAAGCAACACTGAGTGACAATCAATTCCACATGCTGTTGTGCAAATGGGATAGACAACAGGTGGGAATTATAGGCAATTAGTAAAACACCCCCAATAAAGGAGTGGTTCTGCAGGTGGTGACCACAGACCAGTACTCAGTTTCTATGCTTTCTGGCTGATGTTTTGGTCACTTTTGAAGGCTGGCGGTGCTTTCACTCTAGTGGTAGCATGAGACGGAGTCTACAACCCACATAAGTGGCTCAGGTAGTGCAGCTCATCCAGGAAAGCACATCAATACATCAATGCGAGCTGTGGCAAGGTTTGCTGTGTCTGTCAGCGTAGTGTGCAGAGCATGGAGGCACTACCAGGAGTAAGGCCAGTACATCAGGAGACATGGAGGAGGCCATAGGAGGGCAACAACCTAACAGCAGGACCGCTACCTCTGCCTTTGTGCAAGGAGGAACAGGAGGAGCACTGCCAGAGCCCTGCAAAATGACCTCCAGCAGGCCACAAATGTGCATGTGTCTGCTCAAATGGTCATAAACAGACTCCATGAGGGTGGTATGAGGGCCCGACATTCACAGGTTGGGTTTGTGCTTACAGCCCAACACCATGCAGGACGTTTGATATTTGCCAGAGAACACCAAGATTGGCAAATTCGCCACTGGTGCCCTGTGCTCTTCACAAATGAAAGCAGGTTCACACAGAGCACATGTGACAGACATGACAGAGTCTGGAGATGCCGTGGATAATGTTCTGCTGCCTGCAACATCCTCCAACATGACCTGTCTGGCAGTGGGTCAGTAATGGTGTGGGGTGGCATTTCTTTGGGGGGCTGCACAGCCCTCCATGTGCTCGCCAGAGGTAGCCTGACTGCCATTAGGTACTGAGATGAGATCCTCAGACCCCTTGTGAGACCATATGCTGGTGCGGTTGGCCCTGGGTTCCGCCTAATGCAAGACAATGCTAGACCTCATGTGGCTGGAGTGTGTCAGCAGTTCCTGCAAGACAAAGGCATTGATGCTATGGACTGGCCCGTCCGTTCCCCAGACCTGAATCCAATTGAGCACATCTGGGACATCATGTCTGGCTCCATCCACCAACATCAGGTTGCACCACAGACTGTCCAGGAGTTGGCAGATGCTTTAGTCCAGGTCTGGGAGAAGATCCCTCAGGAGACCATCCGCCACCTCATTAGGAGCATGCATAGGTGGGGAGGTCATACAGGCACGTGGAGGCCACACACACTACTGAGCCTCATTTTTATTTGTTTCAAGGACATTACATCAAAGTTGGATCAGCTTGTAGTGTGTTTTTCCACTTTAATCTTGAGTGTGACTCCAAATCCAGACCTCCATGGGTTGAAAAATTTGATTTCCATTTTTTTATTTTTGTGTGATTTTGTTGTCAGCACATTCAACTATGTAAAGAACAAAGTATTTCAGAAGAATATTTAATTCATTCAGATCTAGGATGTGTTATTTTTGTGTTCCCTTTATTTTTTTGAGCAGTGTATATCCACACATATATAAATTTAACATATAACAGATAATAAATATAGTCAACCATGGCAGGTGTATTCTCTATTGAGATACATTGTCATAGATCTCTTAAAAGAATTTAGATTGAATGAAGATTTGACTGTGTCCCTGAGGTTATTCCATAATTGTGGTGCCCTGTAAAAAAATGAGAATCAAGCCACTTTACTCTTGTATTACGGTATGTTAAGACACTCCCTGCATAAATGAGTGAAACCGCCATTTAGTAGATCTTCCCCCTTTAGAGACATAGGCACTGTTGCTGTAGACCGCTAAACTCCCGAACGGAATATAAGAGAATGTGCCAAACTCCCGAACAGAGAATCATCCAAACTCCTTCTCTCCTAGAACAGACGAAATAATACTCCCAAGTAGCAATTCCCCTCAATACGAGACCAAGCTCCATCTTGAGGGTAAAACGGGAATCTGCTTTAATGAGGGCTACCTGCCCGGTGGACACTCCCCTAGGGGACCAGATGGAAGACTGGGACAAATGAAGTACAGTAGCCAATCACAGTGGTTCAGGTATAAACACTCCACTTTGTACATGTAAACCCCTCCTCTCTATCCTAGAGATAATTTGGAAGAAATCCAATTATCTCCATGGATAGAGGCAAAACCGCCATTTTATATGGTATAATAAAAACATAAAAATACATAAATGTAAAACTACCGAATACATTTAATTCGTATAACGTATCCCCAGATAGCCTAGATCTGAGAGCACATTACTACCAGTCAAAGTCTTTTACACTTCTTTCGGTATACGAATGACTCCATGGGATGGCTATCTGGGTTAAGTCCATTCGTAGAATAAAAAGTCCGAACGGACAGGGTTCGTATGCCGATGATAAGAATGGCGGTCAGCAGTTTCAGCGGTGTTGGTTAGAAAAAGTGTCCGTTTGGAGTTCCATAAGTTCCTCGTCGAACACCGCTGTTCATTCGCGTGTTTAAAATGGCCACCGCCTCGTGGTCGGCATACGAACGTTGACCACCCTGCATACGGTTCGAAGGAAGAGGTGTCTGCGGTTAACCACAATGTTCTAATTGAGGCCAATAGGTTAACCAGCAGCACACTTCTCTTCTGGGTGGCCGTCCATTCGGTAGTTTTATTGGGTATAAACTGAAATAAACGAACAGGGACGTACGGGCAGGTAATTCCATGAATGTACAACAAAATAGACGAACCAGCAGATAATACTTAGACAGATGGATCTGTCACACAGTATGCTAAATAAAGTGCTGGTACTGGATTGGATGTTATAGGAGGTGGGAATAACTGGGGAGAGCATTCCACTCAGATAGGGTGGAAGCTTTCCAGAAAAGCTGTTATGCACAAGGCTGGAAAGATGAAGAGTGCGTCGGGAATCTAGCGACAGCCAGTTTAGCTCTTAACATGTCACAGTGGTGGGTAAAGTAATTACATTCTAGTACAAAGTGACAGAACGAGTTATATAATGTGTTAAGTTCATGAAAATGGGTTTACGATGCAGATGCATACACTACATCCCCATAATCAATGACCGGCATTAGCATTTGTTGCATTTGTTTCTTTACTGTAGGGCTTAGGCAGGATTTGTTTCTGTACAGGGCACCTAGTTTTGGATAGAGTTTAGAAGAGTTTTTTTCAATGTGAAAGCCAAAGGATAGATTGGGGTCTAACAACATACATAGATATTTGAAGGAACTGACTGAGGTCAGTGTGTTATTTGAATTTGTTCTGAAACATAGTTGTTAATTTAGTAGTTTACGTAATTTAGGTATAATTCCAAAGATCATTGTAGGAAGAGTTTGTTAACTGCTATCCACTTTTCTACCTTTATGGATTGGTGTTGGAACACAGGCTCAAGCTGCAGTAGATCAGGTTTACTAGTGTACATTGCAGCGTCATCTGCATATATGTGTGCAGTTGAGGATTAGTAGGGGGACAGTAGGGGTCAAGTATGGAGCCTTGAGGAACAACACAAGTGACTGGAAGAGGGAGGGAGGCACTATCAGAAATGGTCACCTATTGCAATAAGTCTGATACATATGATCAAAACCAGGTTAACAGACGATCAACAATACCTGAGTTTTTAATTTTTTTGCAAAAGAATGCCATGGTCTACTGTGTTAAGGGCCTTGGTAAAATCAAGGAAAATAGCTACGACTCAGAATTGTCATTTTTACTAACTATATATGTGTGTGATAACCGTATGTATGTAACACACATATTTAGTTACCAATGACTAATCACAGCTAAATCCAAAGGCCACTACTCCATACTAATTCTTCTTGACCTCTCTGCTGCCTTTGACACTGTTGGTCATTCTCTCCTTCTTTAAACTCTTCAGTCCCTTGGTCTCTGTGACTCTGTCCTCTCATGGTTTTCCTCTTATCTCTCCCAACACTCATTCAGTGTCTCCTTTTCCAAGGATACCTCCTCTCCTCGTCCTGTCTCATTTGGAGTCCCCCAAGGCTCTGTCCTTGGTCCCCTTCTATTTTCTCTTTATATTGCCTGTCTTGGCAAACTTATTGCCTGTTTTAGATTCCACTACCACCTGTACGCTGATGACACCCATATATGTCTCTCCTCCCTTGACCTCTCCCCTGCTTTCCTGCAACATGTCACTGCTTGCCTTTCTTCCATCTCTGACTGGATGTCCTCTCGCTTTCTGAAACAACTCCTAATACTGAGCCCCCTCTCTCGCTCTCCCTTCAAGTCAGTGGTGTCCATCCTTGCAAGCGAAAACCAAAGAAAAAGTTACCTGCACTATCTCCTAAACCCCTATGTATATTTAAACAAATGGAGGTCATTTAGTTACTCCAATGGCCATTGGAGGGAATGCCCACCGGCCAACGTCAAGGCGGACCCCCTGAGGTGGGTTCCTACACTGACCTTTCACCTTGCTTCCTTGAGCTTCTGGCAAAGACATCTCTAATGATACAGAGAGGGGTATTTTTTACATCCCTACATACTTATTAACCCTTAATAGGGAACACATGGGATGGGCGGCAGCATTGTAACATAGCTGTGTGATACAAAAAGTGGATAGAAATACAAAAAAACAAGTCTTTGCCAGAAGCTCAAGGAAGCAAGGTGAAAGGTCAGTGTAGGAACGATGGCAGGTGGGCATTCCCTCCAATGGCCACTGGAGTAACTAAATTACCTCCATTTGTTTAAATATACATAGGGATTTACATAGTTACATAGTTACATAGCTGAAAAGAGACTTGCGTCCATCAAGTTCAGCCTACCTCACATTTGTTTTTTGCTGTTGATCCAAAAGAAGGCAAAAAAACCCAGTTTGAAGCACAATTTTGCAACAAGCTAGGAAAAAAATTCCTTCTTGACCCCAGAATGGCAGTCAGATTTATCCTTGGATCAAGCAGTTATTACCCTACATTGAAAGATTATATCCTTGAATATTCTGTTCTTGCAAGTATGCATCTAGTAGCCGTTTGAACATCTGTATGGACTCTGATAAAACCACTTCTTCAGGCAGAGAATTCCACATCCTGATTGTTCTTACAGTAAAAAAACCTTTCCTTTGCCTTAGACGAAATCTTCTTTCTTCCAGTCTAAACTCATGGCCTTGTGTCCTATGTAAAGTCCGGTTTGTGAATAGATTTCCACACAATGGTTTGTATTGGCCCCGAATATATTTGTATAATGTTATCATATCCCCTCTCAGGCGACGTTTTTCTAAACTAAATAGGTTTAAATTTGTTAACCTTTCTTCATAGCCGATATGTTCCATTCCTTTTATTAATTTTGTAGCCCGTCTCTGCACTTTTTCTAGTGCCATAATATCCTTCTTTAGAACAGGTGCCCAAAATTGCACAGCATATTCAATATGGGGTCTTACCAGTGATTTATAAAGAGGCAAAATTATATTCTTGTCCCGAGAATGAATGCCCTTTTTCATGCATGACAATACCTTACTGGCCTTGGCCACTGCTGATTGACATTGAACATTGTTGCATAGTTTGTTGTCTATAACAATTCCCAAGTCCTTTTCATGTGTTGTTATCCCTAATTCGCTTCCATTAAGGGTATACGTTGCTTGTGTATTCTTTACGCCGAAGTGCATAACTTTGCATTTTTCAACATTAAATTTCATCTGCCATTTGAGTGCCCAGTCCCCCAGTCTATCTAAATCCCTCTGCAGCAAAGTAATATCTTGCTCACATTGTATTGTTTTACAAAGTTTGGTGTCATCTGCAAACACTGAAACATGACTTTCAATGCAGTCTTCAAGATCATTTATAAACATGTTATATAGAAGGGGTCCCAGAACAGACCCCTGAGGGACACCACTTGCCACCTCTGTCCAGCTTGAAAATTTACCATTAATGACAACTCTTTGTACTCTGTTTTTAAGCCAATGTTCTACCCAAGAACAAGCATTTTCATCTAGACCGATTTCCTTGAGTTTGTGTGGAACTGAATCTAATGCCTTGGCAAAATCCAAATAGATCACATCCACGGCAACACCCTGATCTATACTTCTACTTACTTCTTCGTAGAACGCAATCAAGTTAGTTTGACATGACCTGTGCTTCATAAAACCATGCTGATTTTTGCTGATAACCATGTTCTTCTCAAGGAATTCTTGAATATTATCCCTTAATAACCTTTCAAATATTTTACCAGCCACAGAAGTTAAGCTCACAGGTCTATAATTTCCAGGCAAGGATTTTGAACCCTTTTTGAATATAGGAACCACATCTGCCTTCCTCCAATCCTCCGGAACACTTCCTGAAAGAAAAGAATCTTGAAAGATTAAAAACAGAGGTTCACTTATTTCTGCACTTAGTTCCTTAAGTACACGTGGATGGATACCGTCAGGCCCTGGAGCTTTGTTTATATTAACTTTCTTTAGTTGCTGCAGCACCTTGTCTTGAGTTAACCAATTACAATTATTCTGCAAGTTTTTAGTAGCAATCATTTGCACATCTATTGCCATGGGTTCTTCCTTAATATATACGGAGGAGAAATAGTTATTTAAAATTCCTGCCTTTTCCTGGTCTTCATTAATTAACACCCCCGTTTCAGTTTTTAGTGTACCCACACTTTCATTTTGTTTTTTTTAGAATTTATGTACTTAAAAAATGCTTTGGGGTTGGTTTTGCTCTCTTCAGCTATCATTATTTCATTTTGAAGTTTAGCAAGTCTAATTGCCTTTTTGCACACATTATTTGGATCCTTATATCTTTTATAAGATGCATCGGATTTGTCCGATTTAAATGCTTTAAATGCCCTTCTCTTAGTTGTAATCTCTTGTTTTACTCTACTAAGCCACATTGGTTTTAATTTGTTTCTTTTATATTTATTTCCCAACGGTACATACT